CATCCTTCTTATCTTGTGGTCTTCGAGGAATCTTGTAACTTTGCCGCCAACGAATTGTTTTCCATTGTCACATACTATTTCGGCGGGTATTCCGAATCGGCATATGATATGATCCCAAATAAAGTCTATAACTTCTTTCTCTCTTATTTTCTCGAACGCCTGCGCTTCAACCCATTTAGAAAAATAGTCAGTCATAAACAAAATGAATTTGGCTTTACCTGGGGTCGATGGCAGAGGGCCGACGATATCCATTCCCCATTTCATGAATGGCCACGGGGATAAGACTGAGTGGAGTTGCTCTCTGGGCTGGTGGATCATCGGTGCGAACCTTTGACATTTGTCACATTTACGAACAAACTCCTTCGCATCTTTGCCCATATCGATCCAATAATACCATGCTCTGATTATTTTTCGGACTAATGTATCGGCTCCAGAGTGATTCCGGCAAGTACCCTCATGCACTTCCCGTACGACGTAATCGACATCCCCCGGACCCAAGCATACCGCCAACGGTCCATCGAACGTTCTTCGGTACAACATTCCGTCCGACGCTAACGTGAATCGAGCAGCTTTGGTCCGTAGGGTTCTGGAATCTTTAGGGTCCGATGGGTGTTTTTTGCTTTTCAAGTATTCAATATACTTGTTTCTCCAATCCCAAGTTAAGCTTGTAGAATTTATTTCGGCGTGACCTTCTTCGATTACCGATCTCAAAAGTTAAACAACATTCCCCGAGCTTGTATCATCTACCTCGACCGACGACCCCAAATTTGCAAGTGCATCGGCCTCCTTATTCTGTTCCCGTGGTACATTCCGTAAAAGTCCATTGTTTGAAATGGCGCAAAGTGATAAGCAGTTTATCTAAATACCTTTGCATTCTACCTTCCCGAACTTCGAAAGTTTTGTTTACTTGACTCACCACCAGCAAGGAGTCGCAATTGGCTTCAATGACTTCTACTCCCAAGTTTCTAGCTAGCTCGAGACCTGCAATCATGGCTTCATACTCGGCCTCGTTGTTAGTCAACCTGATAGTTTTAATAGATTGCCTAATAGTGCTACCCGTGGGTGGTTTCAAAACTATGCCCAGCCCGGACCCTTTTACGTTCGAAGCCCCGTCCGTAAAAAGGATCCATACCCCTGATGATGTACCTGATTTCAATAGTTCTTTTTCAACTTCGGGTACGAGGGTTGGTGTGATATCGGCCACGAAGTCTGCTAAAATTTGAAACTTGATGGCCGTGCGGGGTTGATATTTGATATTGTACCCACTGAGTTCGACGGCCCATTTGGCCAGTCGGCCTANATTTGGGGCATGCTTTGTTCAAATCCTTATAGTCCATGCACATTCTAAGTTTGTTCCTTTTTTTAGGGACTACAACTACGTTGGCTAACCATTCAGGATATTTCACCTCACGAATGGACCCTACTTTGAGAAGCTTGGTTACCTCGTCCTTTATGAATGCGTGCTTTTTATCGGACTGGGGTCTTCTCTTTTGCTTCACCAGTCTGAACCTGGGGTCCAAACTTAGCTGATGCGTCGTTATGTCCGGCGGGATCCCTGTTATATCTAAATGGGACCAGGCAAAAAAATCGATGTTATCGATAAGAAATTAAACGAGTTTCTTCCTGAGTTCAGGGCTCAACCCCGTTCCCAAGTATACCTTTCGCTCGGGCCAGTGCTCGATTAATATGACTTGCTCTAACTCCTCGATCATCGATTTTATGGCGTAAGAGTCATCGGGAATCACGAAAGATCGAGGGACCCTTTGATTACCATCCTCTTCGATTTTCTGGTTGGGTTGAAGCCGATGTCTGTGATTGCTATTTGGTGTCCCGTTCTCCTTCCGGGCCCGATCCTTTTATCGGCGAAAGTGAGGATACTGGTTTAGCTTCGTCGACGGTGAACATTTCCTTCGCGACTGGTTGTTCTCCGTACACCGTTTTGACACCTCCCGACATCGGGAATTTGAGGGCCTGGTGTAGGGTCGAAGGCAAAAGTCTCATGTTGGTGGTTTCGCATGCCATATTGAACCCGTTTAGGACCAGAGTTGCGGGTACGATCTGATCCTGTAGGCCGAGCCGCTCCACTACCTTCAATCGGATGATGTTGGCCGAGCTACCTGGATCGATTAACACACGCTTAATTTTAGTTTTATTCACGAGTACGGATATTACTAGTGCGTCGTTGTTAGGTTGGATGACCCCCTCTGCATCTTCATTATCAAAGGACAGAGTCCCCATGGGTGCGTAATCTTGAGTCCGAGATCGCTTTTCCCTCACCATCGATGTTTTAGTGCATTTAAGCATTGGTCCCTGAGGGGTATCGATGCCGCCGATGATCATATGGATGACGTGCTGCGGTTCTTCTTGCTCGTTTTGCTTGCTGAAATCCCTACTTCTAAAATGGCTCTTTGCCCTATCACTTAGAAACTCCCGAAGGTGCCCTTTGTTAAATAAGCGAGCTATTTCCTCTCTTAGTTGCTTGCAATCTTCCGTTCTGTGGCCATGGGTACCATGATATTCGCACGTTTGATTGGATTTCTTCGGGCAGGATCGGTCTGCATTGGTCGAGGCCATTTAGTATCTTTGATGCGTCCGATGGCCAACACGAGAGCGGATGCACCAACGCTGAATTTATATTCTGATAATCGAGGTGCTTCTATAGGATCGGCATATTTATCCAAGCCGCTCTAACTCATAAGCCCCTAAGAATTTTGTCCTCGATCAGTCGTTCGATTGTTCCGAACTGTGTTGCGTGCTGAACCGTTGTTCACCCGATCTGCGACGTACGGTCGATATCGGTCTCTGTTCGGCCTTTGTTCTCTGTCGATCTACTTTTGATTAATAACTGTCCTGTTCTGATGAACGGGTCCGTACGGGGCTCCCGACTGATCATCCTCGACCCTAATTTTCGATTGATATCGGTTGTGCACATCTGCCTAAGTTACCGCTGGATACTCGATCAAATTTTGTTTCAGCCGATATGATGCTGTCGAACTTAGCTCCTTCAACCCTTAGGTGAAGGCTTGTACGGCCCAGTCGTCTGTGACCGGGGGTAATTCCATGCGTTCCATTTGAAATCGGGATACGAATTCTCTCAACATTTCTTCCTGCCTTTGCTTTACTTTGAAGAGGTCTGATTTTCTCGTTGCAACCTTTATGGCATCAGCATATGCCTTTACGAATGAATCTGCTAACATGGCAAAAGAATCGATGAAATTCGGCGGTAAATTGTGGTACCAGATCATAGCTCCTTTCGAGAGGGTCTCCCCGAACTTTTTNGCAAAGCACAATGGCGTATTTTTTTCCAGATTTGTATCAAATGACCACTGTTATCCTCGGCCCCACGGTGGGCGCCAAACTGTTTACCCAAAAAATGGATAGAGTTGAATTTATACGCAGTTCCGAGGATATGTGGCGTAACTTGATATAAAATGCAAGGATAAATAAAATGTAAATGTAGATTGGAGAGAATGCAATTTAGATAAGGTTACCAAGAACAATAAACCTTAGGATTCGACAAATAGAATCAATCTAAAAAACTGAAAGAGCGATTCTTTACTGTAGAAGAATATAGTACTTTTATTACAATGTAAGTCTCAGAAAACTTATCCTACAGAAATGATAACCAAGCCCTTTTATAGTGGAGGGATTCGGCTCCAAGCATAATAAAATAAACATTCAGTGGGAGACCTATGATAAGTCAGTTTTTCCATAATTTCTTCCAAGATTCTCTCTAGTGGGATTGCAACGGCTTTTGTCTGCGAGCTCGATCTTGCTTAGAATCCTCGATTTTGGTTTGAGCTTGATTTCGGCTCGAACTTGTGATCTTGGTTCGAGCCCTCGAATTTATTCCAGGTCAATGTTAGTTGGTCTCTGGATTATCAGCACGATAGGTCTACCCTGCATCATGGTTCGATTCTTATTCGAGTTTGATTATGATATCGATCTCGACACGGACCGGCCTCCCCGGGTTCGAGGTTAGTTCGTTCCCCCTTCGGGATCTTACTTCGATACATCACCCTTCGAATTCGATCGGACATGCCAAGACTGAAATCTATTTCGACCGTATATACAATCCAAAGATGAGGTCTAAATCTACACATGGATGGATGGTACTTTGGTTTGCCATTGCATCTAAACACATTGAAGAACCATATCAGTACTCCTATATAACCAAATGATTTCTAAATGGAAAGGATAAAACACAAATAAGGCATTCACCACCAATATAAATGCTAAGATTTTTTTATAGCATTCGAATCCTTGAACTGTTTTAAAACTAACTAAATTCTACAGCTCTATTAGCTACAGGAAGAAAGCTTACAGATGATATGAAAATAGAACTCAAACAAGACCAAAATTATAGGAAATTGAACTCAAATAAGACCAACAATACAAGATACCAAAACTATCCGAACCATAAAATGATTCCTAAGGACAGGATCTTTGAGTTGCATAAGGCTAGAAAAACGACATGAATTAAGAGAAAAATATGTTCACCAGACAATATAACAGCAAAATCATCTCTAGTCATGACTTTTAGTGGGAAAATAGGACCCAAAATCCATATTCCCAAACCACCAAGTCAGACATGGGTTAATCTTTTTACCCAACATGCAGTCACGATAACCACACCAAAAGGTATAAGATATCAAAAGAGAAAGTTTCAGATTACGGAGATACCGAAAATTCCGCTGACTCCTCACCGCCGATAAGGGATTTAAACAAGACATTGCTCCTGTAGATTTTCAAATGGATGAGAGAAATTGGAGGTGGAATCTGAGTATACAATTGTGAAATTAGTGATTTGAGAAAACTACATGTACCACCGAAGAAGATTTGTTATTTGAGCTTTTGGGTCTCTAACATACTTGATAAAGTCACAATTTCTCATAGTGTCAAGACCCAAACCGATGGGCCGCGATAGGCAGTCGATACCTTACTCAACCGAGTATCATCTTTCGTATCATACTTTCATAGATAAATAAGCCGTAGAGGCAGTCGTGAGATAGGTAGAATAAAACATGAGGAAACACTCAACATTGGACGACCCAACATTTAATACAAACTTATACATATGACATACATGCCTATAAGACCAAAATGATCCCTCGTACACTGAACATAGGCCGACAAGGTCATACAATCTTTCACGTACATGACATATGTCTACAAGCCTCTAAGAGTAGATAAACACCATAANNGTCGTGAGATAAGTAGAATAAAACATGAGGAAACACTCAACATTGGACGACCCAACATTTAATACAAACTTATACATATGACATACATGCCTATAAGACCAAAATGATCCCTCGTACACTGAACATAGGCCGACAAGGTCATACAATCTTTCACGTACATGACATATGTCTACAAGCCTCTAAGAGTAGATAAACACAATAAAGGTCGGGACAGAGCCCCGCTATACCAATCAATACATGTCCTAATCATATTGACCAAATAAGTAACTCCGGAGCAATGGAGCACACCAACACCTTTCGCTGAGCTGATAGCCTACTTGGAGGACTCTCAACCTGTCTATCAGGACCTGCGGGCATGAAATACAGCGTCCCCAGGCAAAAGAGACATCAGTACAAATAATGTACTGAGTATGTAAGGAATGAAAATAAGTAAATAAAAGACATAGAGAAACATGGAATAAAAGACTCAACATGTAAGTCTGAATAGCTATGTAAATCATCTCATATTTATAATGCCATGCATATGCGTATAATTGTCATACCATGCATAGGTATATGCGTTCATAACATCATCAAGCCTCTGAGGGCATCTTATCATATCATCTCGGCCACTGTGGGCAAATCATCAACGTATACCAGCTGATCAGGTGGTGGTGCGTATATAACGCCATAACTTTTTTCCGTATCCCATATACATATAATATACACGTATATAATGCCATCTGGTCATGGGTCAATGTACATGTATAAATGCATGAAATACATAAGAAGTGCGTTAATAAAATTTTTCGGAATGTCATAAAATCAATATGCCTTTGACTAATATCATAAAATAAACTTTATCAACTTACGTATTTTCTGAGACCCATGAATAAATAATAGAATAATAGGATACATGAGGAATCAAGAATATAGGCACTTCTAGTACTTTTATGAATAGAGTTATTTATGAAAGTTGTGCATTTGCTTGTTTCGTTTGTATTGTATGTATCATGCCAAAAGGAAAGAAGGGATAGGCTTAACATACCTGAGCCGATTCTCTTAACAATCCCTTTAATACACGTCAATTGCGACAAATCACGTAACGACAGATCGAAGTAAGAAAAAATTCGTATGATATTCTTGAGAAAGATTGTACCGTACTCCCTTAGAATTTGCAAGTCACGTTGCTATTACATAACGTAATCTCGTATGAATTTTTGTTGTAGCTTCATCCGCACTTTGTTGTTTTCAAAGTGTAACACCATTTGATACACTATCAAAACGTAGATAACTGACTTTTAATCCTCAAAGAGACGCAAATTCCTTTGGATGTCATTTGTTATAATCAACAACAGGTACAAGGTTCCAACTTGATATCTCATTTTAGAGACTACTAGTTGTATTTTTCCTTTTCTATTTCCTTCCTTTTTGATCCAAGAATTGGACTCAATTTAAGAAAGTAGTCTTTCACATTTGAAGCCGTTAGAAAACCAAAGAAAGTAGAGGACCAACGTCTCTTAAGAGTTTATTGAAACTTTCTTCATTATCTGGTAGAGACACCAAGTGAATTAGAGAAGTCTTAAGTCTTTGGGTGTGGGCCCCACTTATGTATGACTTGGCCAACAAATTCCTCTAAATGTGCCACCTAATCCATGACTTGCCTAGTCATTATTTGAGTCCCTACTTGCTGCCACTTGGTTAATGCTTATCCACCTCAATAATTATCAATCAATTCCTTAATTAACTAGTTAATCTCTCATTAATAAATAATTAATAAATTATCCACATAATTAAGAATTATCCTAAATTACTTAAAATACTACTCACTTTTAACATACCTCATACACCTTACTATCATAGTCATGTGGTATCTTGTATGACACTAATCCATAAATACTGGGTATTATAGCTCGGACCATATTTTTATCCCAAATTGACAATCACCAACGAAACTCATTTCCTTTGGCTTGCTTACCCTCTCACCTTCACGAATTTATTTATCACTTTTTTGAAATAGCATAATTCTTATAATCTCAAAATAATCTCATTCCCAAACTTACGTCGATTAACTTACGATGAAACTTTAATGTACGAAAATGCGGGATGTAACATCTCATTTTCGAGCTTATATCAATTTACTTATGGCGTACTTTCACGAATGAAAACATAGGGTGTAATATCATTCCCCCCTTTGAAATATTCATCCTCGAATGTTGACTGATGCACTTATCATTATCATAACTTATGTCTTCCGAATACTTTAGTACTCTCCTTGCCATCTAGGCAACTGTTCTGTAAATAATTCCAAAGGCCAGGGCATTCCCCCTTTAGGCCTCTTTCTCATACCATGACTTGTGGTCTGCTACCAAACTCCAGGTTACTCTCGTTGCTTATCCTATATGTATAAATCTAAGTCCTTTAATGCTTCTTCATAACTGTTCATCTTAAGAATGATGGCCTATTCTCATCTCATACTTTGTAACTTTTATCCATCCATTGTTGATTCACCTCAATGTTGATCTACAATCTACTACTGATAACTTGGAACCTCTTACGTAATCACTAGGCCTCACATTGCATCGAGGAACATTTGAAGTGATTTTTCTAATCCACCTGGGGGCGATACGATACTATACTTCCATAACCGTATTTCGTAGCATCGCAATATGGTTTACCTTACGTGGGTATTTTAATCCTGTGCCGTCCGTGAAATCCCTTTTTTTTCTTCTTCAAATTATTACTCAATCAAAGGCCCAAACGTCATCCTTTATCTATTACAATTACACCCTTATTCTACTACGATGGCAGCATTCTATCTCTTCTAAATGCTATTAGTCTTAGACTCATTTGAGTTCATTCAGGCTATACTCAGATTTCTATAACTTAGAGAAACTATTAGCTCTCTTGTTTTCCTGGGCTTAACGCTGAGGACTTATCCATTCTCGTCACCTTTTCACTCGCCTTTCCTTATCCTTACCAATGTCTTCCTAAAACCTTGTCGCTTTACCATACTTTAGCTTGCGACCTACACATATCTATTTATACTATTCGTAACCTTCCTTCAACTTGCTTGCACCATAGATTTCCTTATGTCATCATGGAACATCAAGTGAGACATCTCATTGTCTCTAACTCTTCTTTACTCTCTTAGTTAGACTTCGCGATAGCTAGAAAACATAGGCTGGAAAATATGCCACTGACGATGCTGCTATCATTCCTGGATACTGAACCCCAACGCTTCTAGCCTTCTATCCTAAGTATGGACTATACATAACCTTATGCATATGAGTATCGCGTACGTTGTTCACTTTTACCTTACTTACCTTAAAATCTCGCATCACATCTTCTATATCCTTCACGACCTTCCTTCTACATAGGTATAATTCACATCCACATACTGACTTCTTATGAGGCTGGTACTCTTTATAGAATATGGTTGTTGTACTCTTGCACTTCTGATACTAAGAGTGATTCTGCAATATTTTCAATCACGATTTCTATAATTTTCTGGGTCCAATAATCAGACTCATGATTTACTTGGCTGATGTAACTCTTTAGTTTCCTCTTCCCCCTGATCAACCTTTATGTAGGCTTAAGCTATATTCCGATTTACGGCTCATGGTATTAGTTATTACTTTAGTCTTTCATGAACACTATAGAATATTCATAATACAATCTTCTAACAATTCAATCCTTTGTCTATGACCTTGTCACGACCCGAAATTCCCACCTTCGGACCGTGATGGCGCCTAACATTTCACTTGCTAGGTAAGCCAACGTTAGAATAATATTAATCAATTTTTAAACAATCTTTAAATTATTAATAATCAAGGAAATAAAAGCGGAAGCAAAGTTCGAAATATAGTGAAATAATCCATAAAAATAACGGTGTCTAAATACCATTCCAGAATTGGTGTCACAAGTGCACGAGCTTCTAGAATAAATACAAATAAAGGTCTGAATAAAATAAAGCTGTCTGAAAATAAACACACAGCTAAAGTAAAATAGACGGGGACTTCAAAACTACGGACGCCATGCAGTTATACCTCAAGTCTCCTTTGCTAGCTGAAATCCGAGCAAATCTATGGTACGCCGCTGGGACCAACTCCAAAATTTGCACAAGAAGTGCAGAGTGCAGTATCAGTAAAACCGATCCCATGTACTGGTAAGTGCTGAGCCTAACCTCAACGAAGTAGTGATGAAGCTAAGGCGGTTCACTTACATTAACCTGTACGCAATATTGATAATAACAACAAATAATAGAAATAAATCAAGTAACTCATTTATAATAATTGAAGCCAACTCAGCAGTCATAATCCGTTATCATTTCAACCAATTCTGTTGCAGCGTGCAACCTGCTCTCATAATATATTCACATTCAATTCTGTTGCAGCGTNATTACGGCGTGCAACCCGATCCTCCAATATTGACATTTTAATAAGTCTGTTGCAGCGTGCAACCCGATCCTCCAATATTGACTTTTTAATAAGTCTATTGCGGCGTGCAACCCGATTCTTCAATATATATCCATTTCAATCAATTCTGTTGCGGCGTGCAACCCGCTCCTCCAACATATTCATTTACCAATTCTTATAGAAGAAATTTTCCCGATAAATGCAACAATTAATATAAAACTATAAGNAAGACAACAAGCATATA